ATCGCGGCGCCTGCAGTTCACCCCGCATCGAACTGCGCCTCACTCTCCTCCCGCCGATTGCTTCTGATCCCTGAGAGAGGATTGAACAGTCCCGGTTCCGGCCCCCGTCAGTCACAGCAGCGCCTTTGGCTCGTGCCTCGGCGGCGGCGGTGGTGACGGCCTGCTCCGAGCTGCCGGGCGCGTGTCCGCCGCCGTCTCCTTGGGTGCACCTGCCGCCGCTGCCGTGGCGCACGACCCTGCCATTACCGGGCCGGCTCGGCGCCCGGCGGCGGCGGCTCGGAGGCGTGCGACAGGAAGCGGCGAGCGGCCGACCGGAAAGTCTGGTCCGCCGTGGGAGCCCGGCCGAGACAACCCCACCGCCCGCCGCCGCTCGCTGCCCCGGGGCCGAACAACAGCGGGCTTGGGAAGGCAGCCCTGCGGGGAGGCGCGCGCCGCCCGCCGCCTCGGGGGCCGGACATTACCGGGCTTGGGGGGCAACCCCACGGGGGAGGCGCGCGCCGCCCGCCGCCTCGGGGGCCGGACATTACCGGGCTTGGGGGGCAACCCCACGGGGAGGCGCAGACCGCCTGCCGCCTCGGGGTCCGGACACCACTGGGCTTGGGGGATGGTGTGGGTGGGGTGGGGGAGGGCAACCCCGCGAGCGAGGTGACCATGAAGGTTGGACGGGAGGTTAAACGGTATGATACAGCCAAACAGATGGCTTGGCATTAGACAATCCGACATGAATTGGTCAGACATCAGACTGCTGGACTCTGTGCGGACAAATAAATATAAATATAAAGGCAGGGAGGTTAGAATGTGCTTCGCCCACGGCGGCATCACGGATTTGAGTTCGAAGGGGGGCAGGATTTTACAGCGGGCCTTCTGGATAAAATGCGGCCTCTTCAGAGGGTGACCTCCTGAGTAGTGTCGTATTCAAGGTAGAAGGGCACCGATGGCACGTGTTTCCTTATAAATTCAAAAATCGTGATTGCGGGCCAATTATCCAGAATTAACCGTTTAGGCTATCGCTAACCTAAATCTGGGCTTTCTGTTCCACAAAAGAGGCTTCTGATGCTTAGAGGGGTATATTAATCCAGAACGGGGTGCTTTCGGTTCACAAAGGGGCCTCCAAATCCGTCTAAGGGGCCTCGATATCCTAAATCAGGGCATAATCATTAGAAACCGCGGCCATCTGATGCATGAAAGGGGCGGCTCTTAGTCTGTGACGGGGCCAGAGACAGCCAAGCGGCCCGCTCAAAGGGAGTGCTCCACCTTTGGGGCACATTTTGAAGAAAAACATGCCCTAGTGAAACTTCAGGCCTAGCTACGTCTCATAAAAGCACGGCATACTGCCATCGCGGCACCGTCAAGACGCAATGAGGATATCAATCTTAATTATTTTTTAGTCTACACTGTCTACGCTTTGCAACAGCGTATCCAGTGCTCCTGCGCTTCATCGCTGCGGTTGCGACCACCGTCCTCATGACAATGGCCGTGCGCACCTCTACACTGGTTCAAACAAAAGAACGTTTGCGTTTGGCCTGCTGGGCAAGGGCCTGTCACCGAGAAATTGTTTGGAGTTTGAACCAGTGTGTCACATGGATCAGATGACACTCCCATTCCCAAAGCCAAAGTGTGCCTCGAAAAGAACCAGTGGTAAACGCCATGAGGGAGAAATCAAAACTATAATAAAACATTTTGTTGAATTCGCGTGATAACGGCTTCATGTTCACACACCCCTCTGTCTAAACAGTATGTATCAAGTTTTCGTAGCGTTTATTACATTTTGCTACACTAGTGTGCTGCCAACGTTATAGAACACGCACGACGGAAAAAACGATGGAAATAGAATATATTTCTTTCATGGTGGTGAGCAGAGAGCCAAATGATATTTTTCCCGCGTCAGCGGCTACTTCAAATCGATATTCTGAGCCATTCAGAGGGATTTTGAGAAAACTGTTAATTCTAATCAACTAGAACGCGGCCTTTGTAACCATAACTGAAATGTGCAAAAATGATGAGATACTTCCCTTCACACAACAATGGGCCTCCTGATCTAGTGCGTGAGCTACCTGCTTCATAAAGGTGGCCTCTCCAGAAGCCTGGCCTCTTTATGTTGAAAATGGTCCACTGAGCCCGATTTATTACTCTCTGGCTCAGCTGTGGAGGATTCCTTGATCTAGTTTTTCGCAACCTGCAGGTAGCTACACGGCCTCTAGTTTAGGAAATCACCCATTTTTTGGTCGGGGGGCGGGGGGGGGCAGAAACATGTCTTTACCCCCCTGTCAGCCGGCAGAGGGGGGGCAGCTGTCTCTTTGCTAACCACCCCCTCTCCCCTCCCCCTGTCCCTGCTGCGCCGCCTGTGGCTGAGCCGTCAGCGGAAGTGGGTGTGCCGCACTCCCCCTGGAGCTGCAGAATAGGCGGATGATCCGGCGGCGCAGCACTGTCGCGGGCACGGCGCCGGCGGTGCAGCGCCGTCGCGGGCACGGCGCGACGGCCGCGGCTTACTGGGCACGAGGCCGAGCCGACCGCTCCACATATATGGGAATGCCCGCCCCGCACGTCCGTGTGGTGAGTCACTTGAGCCACTTGGGCCGCCTGCTTGTGGGCGCGTCTGTCATTGATAGATCTACAGAGATCAGACAGAGATCAAACTGTCAGGGCCTGAGCACTTCATTAGACACTCTGTCCTGAGACGCATGAGTGGAGCCGCCTGAGCGTCATTTTACCGCCACTTAAACCCTCACAAACACAGGAGCACGCACGCACGGCGGTCCCCTACAGATCGTACGGGACACGCCGAGATCGAGCCCACTGAGCCGGGAGCCGCCCCGAATTGACCGGTGTGTTTACGAGCCGTTGTGCTGGCCGTCCGCCGCCGCCGGCCAGCCCGGCAGCGGCGTTCACAATAGCAATCAGACGAGCTTGTTGTCGACAGCGGGCGATTGTGCGCGGGCCCCGGCGCCCGATCGGCTCACCCCACCAGCCGCCGAGGCCGTTTGTGGCCTGACCTCGCCGAGGTCGTCCACTGAATGGGACAAATTGACGCGGCGACCGCTGGGAAGGCCCCCTGGTGGCCCGCCTCCCGAACCTGTCCGTGGGAAGCGGGCGCCGCGCCGCCGTGGGTCGCCGAGTAATGGAGACGGCCTTATTGCGCCGCGAGGAGACACGCCGGCGGAGGCGGACAACATTCCGCAGTAAAAGGGTGAGCGCGCGGCACGTGTGGAGCCGGCGGAGGCTCGCCGATCGCATACCGTCCGCAGACAGTTCGGCGGCAGACGGAGTCTGCACGAACCCATAGCATTCCGTAGTAAAGGGCCCAGCCCGGCGCGCGTGCAGGGGGATCGGGCCAGCTATGCGGGCTTGGCTGCTTAAGCCGGATTCCGCCGGTTGGGGGTGGAGGTGCTGCCGGTCCAGCTGGCCACGGATCGTGCCAGGGCGCGACTTTAAACGATGCTCTGACCGCTGATCTTATGCAGCTTTGCCATTGAATTTGAAATTTTTATTATAAAGCCCCCCGCTTGCTCCACACCCTCTCCATGTTAGGGCGTCAGTCGTTCACGATACCTAGTGAACTGTATGTAGATTAAAGTAGTGCGATGCCTTATATAGCCCTGTACGCTTCGAAAGCTTCTTTGGCGAGGCATGCAGCTCAGTAGCAAAAAGCTGTGGGTTCGGTGAGTGATCGTGGTAGTGGAAGTCATGTATACACTCCATACTTGGTCTTCGCAGTTTGTTTGCCGCTGCTTCGCTAAATCCACAAAAGTAAAAGACATCGTTCATGATCACTCCATCGCACGTCCTCTCCAAGCAGACATATCACTTCAGTTTGTGGTAGCGCATTTTAAAAATAGCTCAGGAAGATTGATTCTCCAACACGGCGTAAAGTTAACAATGAGCAGAGCAATGTGTGGTACTATATTTTGCTTTGGAAACGTTTTCATGACGATAGACTGCGCCATTGCGACATAATTTGTAGCCCATAGGGAAATTAGGCTTTTTTTAAAATAAATCCTTCAAGATCTGCCACTCGGAGGGGGAAATGCTGAACGAAGTGATCGCAACTTCATATGAGTAAAAAGACATTTAGCTTCTGGCCCTTGTGTTGTAAATAACCGGCCAACCGATCTTCGTTACACCAGGAGGTACAGCATAAAGAATGATTAAAGCAAGCAGTGATATTATCACGAAAATCTCGACGTTTCCAACACTGTTATGGTTACAAAAACTGCAGTTCGGTTGGCTGGATATGTTTCTCTTCTTTAATAAAGCTACTTACCAGTCACCTCTAGTGCGTTAAACAGGGTTGATTATTTAAAACATAACACTTCACATCACATATTGTGTATGCCATAACGCTACGCTGCCTTGGAACACATGCATTAAATTTCAGCCTGCAAGAGAACAGCTTATCAGCAAGTGTCATTTATAGAAATATTCACATTGCTGGGACTACGTTCGTGCGCCGCAGCAAATAATGTTTCCATACACACACTTTACAGAAGCACAACAGACCTAGTCTGGTGGAAAGGAGCGCCACAACCCGAAGAGATCTGTATTTCACCAATTATTGTGTTAAGCGTGGGCCGTAGTTTCTACTGTTACTACCACCTGATCTTTCATGCCATCGCCCTCGTGATTTGATGATAGTGGCTCTCAGTGATCAGTGTGCCCTGAACTTCTTTGCCTCAGCCACCCTTGATCATAAACCTTTGCCTTTCATCCTCACATCGTAGCCGTTCCCATGTCACCTGTCCGGTACCTGATCTCATAAAGACATATCCTCCAGTTTAGCGTGATAGTGCAGGAGATGTCTCTTGTTGATCCAATGTGTTTTTTTTCTGGTTATATGAGGTACTTTATGTCGCTGCATTATCAAGCTCTTCTAGCGCGGTCTCGCTTCCATTGGTCCTGCACCTGCAGCGCGTGAGTGTTGAGCCTAACCATGCCGTCTTTCGTATCATGTGATGTCATGTCATGTCATGTCAATCATGACGTCCAACTTTGTTTGTTTCCAGCGGGTGAGAAGATCGTCGGAATCCATCGCCTACCGGAAACGGCTCAGATGATGAGAGAGAACGTGGAGCGAGTGCTTCAGGTAAGACGGGCAGCGCTGGCATCTCTCCTGTTTCAGGGTTGTTTCTCATTGGTGCCAGCCTGTTTTACGCGTCTGTATTTTAGTATGCGTGCATTGTTTAATCTGGTTTAGATTAGAGCCCTGGCTCGGACAGCAGTGGCCATTTCAGGGCAGTGGGACGGATAAGAGTGGGGACTGGTGGGACAAGCCGACAGGCAGCTGGGGTTCTTGCCCTTCTGACACTTGGCCCGCACAGGGAACGTCTTCTGGACATGAACCTGGTGCTCTGACGGGACTGGGTATTTGAGCGAGCCTACTCATGGCCCATATACGCAGTATTCCTCGAATAAATGGGGTGTCGCCGGAATCCAGGCTAAAGTGTTAAATCAGAGCACATTATCTGTATTGTTTTCGTGTATTGCTACGCTGCACGCTGCTGGGATCGTTTTACAGTGCAGGCAGGAACTGCTAAGCTGCTATAGCATTATTCCTTTGAGAGAGTCATTGCTAACACAATGGGTTTTCCCTCAGTTTATGGCCGCTAAAAGAATCCGCATGCATCACGTCGGCAGCAAAGAGGTCATCGAGGGCAATCTGAAAGCGGTGATGAGGCTGATTTTGGCGTTGGCCGCGCACTACAAGCCTCAGAGCGTCCGAACATCGCCTTACGACAGTGGCGCCACCACCGAGAAAACGGGAACGACAGGTAAGACACCTACTGGAGGCGAGACGAAACTTGAAAACCGCGTCACTACTACTTGCCTTGCTATCATTTTTGCTCATTCCTCACAGATCACGGTGCGTGGTTGGCTGGTCGGGCATGTTATTTGAAGGTGATAACAGGAATTTAGTGTGCGCGATAACGCTATGAGTTATTATCATACCCTGTTATTGTGAAACGACCTGCATGATCGACTTATTCGATGATTCGGAGATGAATTAGAATAGTTTGCACTGAACGTCCAGAAAACAAAATTTTCCTTAACTTGTTAGGATCACGTATAGATCTAAAATTCTACTGTTTGAAATTTTGGTACAGGACTCTAATACATTGTCGAAACGACGTCTCCTAGGATATATATCGAATAATGCAAAGTTCGAACAACCGTCTATAGGTGGCAGCACTATTATTTTATGAAATGACTGATTCTATCTAAGATTGATATAGCTTTTAGTTTTGGTGGCTTGGAACAGCGGAGAAAATGACCAATGTTAAAGAATTCAGTTTCTGCTGATTAATGTACAATTATCCGTCCCTCTAATCCTCTTCCTCGTTTTATCCTCTATCCTCTCGACACCCCGCTAGTCCGGGGCAGGCTGCATGCATCAGCCACGGGTGGGCCGAGAGCCCCGTGGGCAGGGAAACCCCGAGAGGGTACCCAGCGCGCACGCGCGGATTAAAGCCTGGCGGCTGGCCCCCCAGGCGCCTGAGAGTCTGCTCCACCGTTAATATTTTGTTTTCATCCCATAGCCTTGAAATAATTATTTCTGGTCCAAAGGGTTCTAATCCAAAAACCCAAAACAAACTAATGTCGAATTACCGGTACGCTGCATAACTGGTGACCCGCATTCATGCTCTAGAGGTGGGAATAACTGCAACCAATATACTTAACTCTGGATATAGGTTTATGAAAGCCGAAATAATTTCCGCATCTTTATTTTAGCAAGAGTCTTATTTCTCACCCTCCGAGAAAATCTAAGCGATTTACATTTTGAAAACAAAGTGGATTCAAGCAGACCAACGGTGCGGAGCCGTCGTCAACAACGCTAGCTAGACTGCAGGTGTTCGGATCCTTCAAAACACAATTTGGCTCTAAAAACAGGCGAGAGTGTCCACTAAGTCCGCTTTGGGATCGTCTCCGCGGACAACCACAAGTCGGAGCGCTCCCTGCGGGCCTCCAGAGAGCACCTGCGAGAACCTCCGGAGAGCTCTCAGTCCGGAGCTCTCAGTCCGCACACAGCCAGCCTGGCATCAGGCAACCAGACGCTGGGTAGCCGGAGATCAGCCAACCTGTCATCATAATCATACATGGTCTTTTAAAACAGTTTTGCATCAACTGATGCCACAATGGATTTTGATCCCCGACGCCGGCATCGAAGATCAAAAGGCCGGAACCAATTTAGCAGTAACATGGCGCTAGGCGTCGGACACTCCAGTGTGTAGCCGGGTGAGTGGGCAGGAGAAGAAAACAACCGACATCCAGGCAGTGGGCATTCGGCAAAAAGTCATCAAACATCAGACAGCCGTAGAAACTAAGAGTGTGAGAATATGGGGAGTCAGAAAACAGACTCATCAACAGACCACATCTAGCAAGCAGTCGCATGCCATGCACCGGACCATCATGTAACAGCCAGAAAAGGGACAGAGAGGTGGACAAACAGGCATCGTGACAGCCGGACAGTTGGGAATGGAGCCGCTAGAGAACCGGCGGACAGCCTGATATCCGGACAGCAGAAGGGCTGGACATTATACAATCGGACAGGAGGACGGGCGGACAACAGAACAGCTGGACTTAAGACAGCCGAACTGTCAGACTTGAAGCAGCCGAACAGCCGGACATGAGACAGTCGGACAACCGGAAGTGAGACAGCCGGACAGTTGGAAATGGGGCCGCCATAAAAACGGGCATGAAACCACCGGACAGCCTGACAGCCGGACAGTATAAGGGCTGGACATGAGACAGCCGGACAGCCGGACAGTCAGACATGAGACAGCAAAACGGCCGAACATGAGACAGCCGGACAGCCAGGCATGAGACAGTCGGATAGCTGGACGGACAAAGAGCAGAACGGCCGAGCTTAAGACACCCGACCTGTCAGACTTAAGACAGCCGGACAGCCGGACCATGAGACAGGCGGCCAGCCAGACATGAGACAGGCGGACAGCCGGACATGAGACAGCCGGACAGCAGCGGCAGCTGACGCGGCCCGTCGAGCCGCACAGTTAGCGCCGGGCGCCGCCAGCCGGCCGGACCGGCGTCGCTAACGAGTCCCGTCGCCCGGCGGCGTCCGTTCGGTCAGCGGGCCGAGCTAACGGTGGAGCGAGCCGCCACACCAGCTCCCCCGCCCACCGAGGCTGCCGCAGCGCAGGGCCGGCACGTGCACCGATGACAGGCTGCGGTGGCTGGCACGGGCCACGGCACGGGTCAACTTCTTCTCCAACCCCGGCTGCAGAGACGCAGATAGTGTAGTATGGCCGGTGTTTATGCACGCTGGTGCTGCAAAGGGCGTGCATAAGGATGCACGACACCAGTGACACTGCTGTGTCCACTCAGGGCAGCGTCCGAACAGTGCCGGGCTCCATTAGAGCTCCAGCTACCTCATTACGTTTGCATCTTGCCGACCGCTAGTGACATTGGGAGACATGCGTCAGGCAATGGCATGCCGCTGACCAGGATAGGCTATCGGTGAATGTATCATACATATATTGGGAGCGCCAACTACCTCCTCTGTCTCATTGCCTCAGTGCTGCTACCTATCATTCGGTTCTCGTTCGCCGGCGTTTGGCTGCAGGTATTCGTTAGCTCCTAACTCCCAGCCGCTTTGCTCCTGTCTAGAAATAATCCGGTTGTTACAAGTGCAAATTGAGTGGACTGATTAATAATCTATGCAGGTAACTCCATGCTCTTTGCTAATGAAGCTGCGTGCGAACTCGTTAACATGCGTAGGGGCGGTCGGTTGAATGTGACGCGTTCGCGAGTTCAATTTACCTCCAAATATCTAAAAAGCTAAGAACCAAATTGTGTTGAGCATGTCACAAGGCAGTCATATATATATATATATATATATATATATATATATATATATATATATGAGCTCACTTGTAACAAATTTTGAGACGCTAGTTTATCATGGTGGGGTCAAATAGAGTCAGACGGTCAAATTCAAGCTCGATGTCCGAAGCGCCTTCACTTCCTCACGCAACCGCCTTTGCCCTAGATACATGTTCTAAGCAAAAGGTCACTGGTTTTATTTCAGGTCAATCACCTTATTTGACCTTTAGAAGCCCACGGTAATCAAAACCTACCAGATCGCTTTTATTTTTCAACTTAGATAAACATGAAAATGTCTTAGCTGTGCTAAAAATGACTATGCTCCCAAGAATTAAAGGTTAATTGGGATCACTTTAGTTAAGTGATTTTTCGTCACCTTCAAGAAATCCAAATGATATGTCTGTTGACCTCCCTGTGATAAAGAAACTCGAAATGAGCATCAAAAGCTACTCCGTAATAACCGGTTTTCCAATGGAAAGGCAAATTGTTTTTTATCTCAGTCCAGCCCTCATACCTGACCTAAGGCCAACGGAATTTGTCGTAATTCTGACCTAAATTGCCTAATTCAGTACGAAACTATTTTAGATAGCATGGCTTTAGGTAACACTCTGTTGTTCCATATACACACACACTGAATAAGCATGTCATACAGCTGACGTAGTAACTGACCGGAACATCGAGCCTTACTCCCGCATTGCTGGATGTCAGTTAGGTGAGGAGAACTCAGATGACAGGATGACTTAGCAAATCTAGCAAAGAATTAACTAGCATTTCGAGAAACATAAAAGATCATTCAGCATAAGACAAGTTGGCTAATTGTTACCCACGGACAAATATACCTTCTCGCTCCTCAAATGACCGGACTGGACATGTGAAGTCCAGCAATCTGGGGACCGAGGCATTCTTTTTAAGCACTTCCGCATGTGATAACCATTTGACACGCCATCTCTGCAGCACAAGTTTCCGAACTGACATCAGAACGTCATGGCAGGGCATGACAGTTTAGCACTTGTGCTGGCACAAGAGAACCGGCAATACCGGCGGCGGAAATTGGTGATAAGTTGTCTTTTCCGAGAGGGCACACATCGCGTTATTGTTTTCAGATTACATCCGCACATGGCCTCGGCGTCGTCGAAGCCGCCGATCGTCGGTCGACACCTCACTTCCGTGTTCCCATTGACGCCAGGCTAGCGGCCGACATGCTCTCTAATGAATTGGCGGGCCGGCCGGTAACGCGCGCCCGCCGGCGCTGCATTGTAAATCACGTGGCGTCCAGTTCCGGACAGCCGCTGCCCATAAGGCCCGCCCGCACCGCTGGACGTAAATCAAACTGCAGTGGATCAGCAGGCCCCAAAACACGGGCAGGGGCGGTGTCAGGCGCGCTGTTCGGAGGGATGGGGGGGGGGGGGGGGCAGCGATCCACCGCGCCGCATCGCACAGCCATCCGCTGGCCAGCGACAGGCTGCGACGCCGGTATTCGAGTCTCCTCCTCCCTCACCCCCGCCCGCCCCGCGCGGCGCGCTGGCCACGCCGCCGTTGTCGCCACAGTCCACCTCCGTTACGGTGATTAATCACGGACAGGCGATCATCTGGCGCGCCATCTCGGTGCGTTACTTCGGCGTTCTCAGGCGGCGCGCGCGGGTGGCGGCGGCGCGCGCTCCGCGCCCCACTGCTGATTACACGGCCGCGGCCGGCCGGGTGTGGCGCGGCGCTGGACGACGGGCGAGTGGTCCGCCACTCCTCGCCACGCCACGATGGTCGCCAGGGAGTGGAAGCGGCGCGCCGCCACCGGCAGAGCTGTGTGTGAGTGCGCGGCGCCGGCGGCAGGCGCGGAGCGCCGCGTGGGGAGTGGTTCCGGCGCCGGCAGGCGCTGGAGAGGTTTGTGGAGTGAGGACGCTCTGATTTACGGCAGGGCGACTGGCGGTGGGTGGTTGTCAGGTTTGGAAAATAGCCTTTGACATCTGCTCATGTTCGCATGGCACAATTTGATCGGGCGGCCGGCCTTTGAATCCGTTGCCCGTCTCTTTCAAGATTGTTGAAGAGATAACTAGATGCAGAACTTTTTAGTTCATTTCCATTGGCTCACAGTCTAGAAATGGTGAAACGACGTCTGGCTCAACTCAATTCTTAGCATTACGTTCTCGCTTCATTTCGTGTCGTTTAGTGTGACTCAATCAATGTATGACATGTTTTGGGTTATTTCTACCGTTGGATATATCCTCGTTTGGCTAAATCCGCTGTAGAGAACCAGCCAATCGCGTACCTTATTTTGGCTGGGAGTGCACGGATCCTCGTCACCGCCATCGAGATGCCTTTCACGGCATGGGACGGGCAGGGCGATAACAGACGTGACTGATATTGCCATGTAAATCACCCGAAAGCATGAACGAATGAAGCCCGCCGCCTTGGGTAGCACACCCCGATGGGACGTACCAGTGCATATGAATATGCTCCTTTTATAAGCTCAGCAGGCAGAGGTGCACCGATGTTTGTAAATACGCCCACAAATTTATAGATGACGTCACTGGAGTAATGACTGGCTACAGCTCCGTCACGGCCGCGCAAGTTTAGTCGACGAGCGGGATGAGTTTGGAAAATGCTGCATTTTTCGTGGTTATTGCGCAAGCATGGGGACAAAATGTTAATGTTTTAGATGAATGTTGGTCGCGAATACGATTAACTGGCTTTGTGCTGGCTGCAGTTATCATTGCCTGGTCTGTCTCGGCACACCTCACAGCGTGTTGTGTTGGGGCCAGTTTCGGAAAAGTCGACCTTTGCTGCCTCCCCGCCTAACCCTTGTGCACCAACACGTCGGAAAGCGTTATGGTCGCCTTATGATTCGAAGAGAGTGAGCCGCCCACACCATACAACAGTTCTACTCACATACTTTGGCTGTCAAGATCTGACATCAGCACTTAAAATCGTTAGAGAACGAACGCATCCGTAGCATGTGTGCGATTACTCACGATAGCTTGCATATATCGACCAACAGCTGTGCCAGTGCCATTTCCGTTTCCTTTCCATCGTGTTCCGACGCCTGGCCACCCAGACCTGGACCTGTTTTCGGCCCGCGTCATTTAAAAGCGTGGCTGTCTGGGCAGAGCAGACTCGCCAAATGTACCCAATGTCCGGTTAGTTCAATCCAAAAAATAGTTCGGTCCGCTGCATTGTTTGCATGATATGATGCATGATTATTCAGGAAGAGGCCACTTTGTTGATTGAACTGACAGGAAAACACAAATATCGTGCTGGAATAGTGCGTATAACAATTCATAAATACGAGTAGCATGTCCACAAGCGTGGCTTCAAATACTTCCTGGTGTGTGCCACTTGACCTATTCGTGTTAATTTGGCAGCTGATATCGGATGAGCAAAATTGTATTGTTCGCTGCAAATAACAAACATGGGTACTCATGTCGAACAAAGAGTAAATAGCTAGAAACCTCAAAACATGAGTGTCGTTTGACACAAGCGGCAAAGAAAACATTTTAGCATTCAAGAGTGCAAAACGTCAAACGTGGTGTGCGCACAGGTTCTCGTGATACGAAACCGTCGACTGCTTTCTGGCTAGACCTTCAATGACGTTGATCTGCCGACACGCGTGCGTTATAACGCTTGACCCTGTGCGGAGGATTTTGCGTGTTAAAGGGGTTACCAAATCAAATGTTGTCACGCATCTCTAAAGCTGTCGCATTTCCCTCGGATTTACATTGAGTCTTTGTTTTTCTAGTCATTCAATGTTGACGCCGCAACAATGCTGCAAATTGTTGGTTCAATCAGGGCCATATGGAGGGCCGGTGCTGGTATTGCGTGCCTACATTCATTGCGGTGCTGCCTTTATCCAATGGCACAGTTAGCCAAGACAACCGCTGCGATATTCACAATGTTTATATTATTCTGTATACGTTGTACGTCTCTCTCCAGAAATCATGAAGCTCCAAAACGATACTAGTTAAACCATAAAACATAAAAACCATAAGGCCATAAAACCGTAAAATAAAAAATACATAGAATAAAAGCATAAAGATAATAATAATAATATAATAAGCCATATCATAATGATAGCATAAAAATCATACAATAAAGCTACAAAAAACGTGAAACCATAAAACCATACCAACCAGACCATTCTCATTAATCCAGTTCTTGAGGTTGGCTGTGCTAAGCTCCGTTGAAGCTGTACGTGGTAAAGCATTGAAACAAAACGCGCGCCATTTCTGAGGAATTATACCAGTATCGTTTTAATCTTTGAAGTAGCACGAAAGTGTGGGAACTGCCACGAAATACAACTGCTATCGTGTGTATCCAAAACGACTGTATAGATCAAAATCAAACTACAGCTCTATTGAAGCAATTTGACATGTCATACTAAACCACTAATTTGTTTTACCATCGCCCAAGTCCCACGTCAAACAACAATAATAAAGTATTTGCAATGTCATGCCATCATTCCTTCACTTGATTGATGGTATCCGACACTTTATGAGCGGAGCGTGTTCTAACCTGGATATTCTGTCGGTTAATGTCGCACATGAACCAAGGCATATGCAGCTCAGCGCTGCACCGCCGCCCTGAATTCAGAGCTGTTCTGATGCCGCTTCACGCTGACCCGATACTCCATTATTCAAACCATTCTCCCCCTGTTCACAGCGTCGTCGGCTGGCACGACGGCAACACCAGCGACGCCCTCGAAATCAACCCCTCCCACCAAAACAACGACTCCCACGGTGACCCCCACCCCCTCCCCATCCACCTCCGCCGCCAGCTCAGCCCCCTCACCCTCCACTTCGACGGCGACGGTGACCGGCTCCGCGGGCCCGGCGAGCACGCCCGGCACCCCCAGCACGCCGAACAAGCGCTCAGCGCTCTCCGTGTGCGTCACGACGCCCAACCTGAACGTGCCCGGGAACCGCAAGTCGATCGGTCACCTGCTGGAGGGCACGCTGGCCGTGGCGCCGCTACGCCGCTTCCCCAGCGTGGCCGGTCACCAGTGGGCAGCTGCCGGCGTCGGCGGCGACGACGGCGACGACGGCGGCGACGAGGCCACGCCCGAGAGCCGTGTCGACGACGACGCGCCGGCTGCGGCGCGGCCGGTGGAGCGGCGCGGCCGCCGCCAGTGGGGCCTGCCCGGGCCGCCGCTCTACGAGAATCTGCCGCGCAGCAACAGCTTCGCCAGCTACAGCGGCGACCGGCCGCGCCTGCCGCCGGCCGCCGACACCGAGGGCATCTACGACGTGCCGCGCTGCCGACCGCCACGCGTGCAGGAGGGCCCGGCCTCGCTCGGCGCCGAACTGTCGCGCACGACGCAGACGGACGGCCGCGAGCCGCGTGAGATCGTGGACGGGTTCAGTAGCCTACCGCGCCACGGCGTGCGGCCCGCTGCGCTCGACTTCTGGGAGAGTCTGACCACGCACAGCACCGGCACCAGCTCGCCGAACACCAGCGGCGAGTTCAGGTCAGTTCAGTCACCGGTCAGCGGCGAGCTCAGGTCAGTTCAGTGATCGGTCAGCGGCGAGTTCAGGTCAATTCAGTCATCGGTTAGCAGCGAGTTCAGACGGCGTGTCCGTCACCGAAGAGATGCTAAGGTCCATCGAACTTGACGGACGGCGGCGCGAAGTCGAGGCTGACGCATCTTAGTGTACCGTCATTGTAGCGGAGATCGTGCCAGCTTGTTGTGCCGGTCACTGCCGCGGAGGTGAGGTCTTTCGTGCCGGCGAACGCCAGCGGGAGGTTGGGCCATTTCGGTCACACAAAAGCGGCCCGGGCAGCTTCCAGTTTAGGTCAGCAAACGTTTCTGGGAGTTTAAAGCAGTTCACATTACTAAACGCAAGAGACAGTCTATACCGTTTAAGCCCTTGTAAAATCAACAGGCAGCTGAGGTCGGTGTGGTACTTGCACTCTCGCGGTCATCAGCGGCGGATGCTCAACCCGTGTTTGCGCATCCGTCTAGGCTTCGCTCCTCTTTGTCACCAGAATAAACAAATCAGCATCACGATAGGCATAGCTGTGGCATTGAAGCACTAACGAAACAATTTCCAAAGATGTATCTACGAATCAGTGCAACAGTGCCTCTCACATCGCCAGGTACAACACCATCCACCGGATGAGTGGACGCCGCCTGCTCCCGAAGACGCCCGACACACGCTCGAGGCCCGCCGCGCCGGCCGCGCCGCCGGTGCCAGGCAGGGCCGCCCAAGCCGTCCGAGGACGCTGAGGAGCGCAGTCTGGGCAGCCGGGGAGAGGTGGAGGGCTCCTCCAGCCACGGCTCGCCCACCACCTCGATCGTGCGCTCGCGTGAGGAGGCGGTGGCCGAGTGGCTGCGCGGCACGCCGGCGCGCCGCTCGGACGGCTGGACGCGGCCCGAGGCGCCGGCGCCGCCGGCCGAGCTGTGGCGCCATTCAGCGCTGCGCCGTTCCGTCCAGCTCGAGAGCTGGAGCCGACCGGCGCCGGCGCCGGCGCGCGTGTACGGCGCGCCGCCGCCGCCGGCCGAGCCGCTTTCGTACGACGCGCTGCTGGAGGAGCTCGGCCGTGCCCGCCGCCAGCTGGTCGCCCTGCAGGAGTTGGTGAGCGTACGTACTCGTTCTGCACTCTCACCGGGGCTGGGGACGAGCTGCCTCGGCGGCGGAAGCGGCCGGCGGGGTCGGCCACGGACGGCGACGTCGAACTCAGTGGAGACGGACGGCGCCGGATGTGGAGACGATGGCCCCGCCGCCGCCCCTTCGGCCGGTCGCGGCTGGTGGGTGACACTGCTGTGCACCCCCTGCATGGCTAGATCACATTTGTTTGGGCGGAATCACCTGCATAGATGCAGTGGATCTGCTTGCCCCATGGGGAAACAAGAGTGAATGACGCGCGTGGCTGTGCATGCGATCAAGCAATGTGCTCGGAATGCAGCTGGATCAGGCGTTACCGAATCATCCTCCGTCCTCCTCCGGCACCACTTTTCGTCGAGCATTTGTTACAGACGACTTAAAGTGCGCTACTGATTTATACAGCCCGTTGGCTTTCTGTCAATGTTGAACCGACTCTTTCATGTGCACAGAAATGCCTGCACCGGTTGCGTTTCGAAACTTGGCGTTATTGCGAACTGGCAACGACAAGAGAACAAAAACAGAATGGCGCATGGATGCCCCGGTGGAAATCTTCACACAAACGTCATCTCCTGACACATTTTTCGTACGATCCATTTCTGAATTCTGTCGTAGGATCTCAGGACTAATGGAAAAGTCGGCGTGGCAGAACCTGCGCAGCTGACTGTCAAACCGGCGCGTTTTCCGGTGGTCTGTTCGGGGACATGGTCGGGCGACGCACTCGTCAGCGCGTCGCCGTTTCCGGGGTGAAGGACTGATGAGGTGTCCACAGCCCGGAGCTCATCACTGCCGGCGCGCCGCCACCGTGGGAAAACCGAAATCATGGAAAATGAGTCGGCGCGCGCTGCGTACCGGCGTTTTGCAGCGTGCGGTGGGTATCGGGCGGTCGGTCTGCGGGCGGGCTGGGGACGGGCTGTGGATGGTCTGCGGACGGGCTGGGGACGGGTGGCTGCGTGGCCGTCTTCTGGCCAGCTTTAATGGCCGACTCTCGTTGACTGGCAGGCAGATGGGGCTTCTCGGACCGTGGCTGTGAACAGCTGGCGGGAGTGTATTCTCGTTGACCGGCCCAGATGGGGTGTCTTACCTGATGGTCGGGCACCTGGCGGGTGGCGCTGCTGTTGTTAGTGGCTAGGTTCGGTGGCGTGCGTAGCGATGTCCTGGGGAAAAAGCTACTTGTGGTTTCCGGGGATGGATGGGCTGTGATTATGACAAATGGATGATGCTTTATAAGATTTGTCGGTGTTAAGAGCATTCAAAGATGATAGCAGGGAAACAAAGAAAATGCGATTAGATACAGGAAGCATTGTTCAACAACTTAGCTATCACAGAATGCTATTCGAAAGCTCATATACAGACATATCTATATTTGTATATGTATTAGTGCTTGATATCACCTGACACTCCACATACGTACGTGGCTATTACGTGACATCAGTGTAAGAGGCAAAACGCTATGTCCAAAATCAACGGAAAGTGATAAGGGATAGAAAAGCACATGAGCGCACGCACAAATAGCGCCAGATAACCCTATCGCACAAAAAGAGCCCTCGCAGCGTGCATGAAAGTTGTTGAATGCAGTCGTCGAACATCGACAGGCGACTAACTCATTAATGAAAGACATCGCTCGGTGTGCGAAGGACCGCTGTCCTACCGCCGAGCGCACCGCCAGGGGAGCGAAAGTGATGGTCCATGCGGGTAGTTCGGTCATTGGTCCGCGGGTCAGCGTATGTTTGAAGCAAACAGATAACACCTTGAGGCTCACCTCGCCCTTTGGCTTTGTGGGCAGCGATAACATCGTACATCACACATTTGGCGAGGCGTGGCAAAGTGCAGCTCATCCCGCGCGATTGACACATGTTCATACTTTCGGAGGCCAGTAACTATTTTGGTAACGACATTAACCACTTTAAGCAATCTGACCTCGTTAACAGCTGACCTCGCCCATAAACCGAAATACAGTATCTTACGCGTGAGGTAGCTAGAGCCTGCACCATGGCCATCAGCACTCGTTACAGAAAGAAATGTCTCAGACGGCGAAGGCTGATCAGGACGCCGATGCGCTTTCTTACTACATCACTGACGTGTGCGTCCCAGCTGAGGTGGCGGCCAAATAGCACACTTAAGTTGTTTACGGTCAGGCTCTCCCAAACGATCTCCTTACCGAACCGTACGCTGACAGGGGAAAGTCTGTGGTTGTTCTGTCTGGGGCCAAGGCGAAGGAGTTAGGTTTTGGACACGTTGAGCTTCAGACCGTGGGCATAAAACCACGACGCTAGGGAGGATAGGATGGTTTTCATGCGTTGGATGAGGGGGGAAGGCTACGTTTAGCATCGGATGTAAGGATTTGGGCGTCGTCAGCGTACTGGGTCACAGGAGCGTCGCAGCAAGCTGATAAACAAGCTTCCACAACCCAAACCTACGCCCAAATTCCTCCGTGAAATCCATAGATAGCGTGTCTGGAATGTACCAAGCCATCGTTGGTCCGCACCAGCAGCAATGACATAATTTCTTGCACTGTCGTTCTGGATTTGTTTTAAACCTTACCCGCCTTCAAACCCGTGCATCATGTGTCACCCCTCAAGAGGCATTAGTCGCCTAAAACGAACAGCAGCATTAGGAGATTACATTCACCGCAAAGAGCACAACTGCATATTACTAGCAATACAGAGCTACTTCCTTTGTACCTGTGCCCATCTGTGAAAGCTCAAATTTGGTGTCATTATCCCTGGGAACTCCGCCCTAGGCCCTGTTTAGTCGTTGGTGGCGTGGGAAACGAGCCACGCCTGAGGCCAAGCATGAGCGTCCTGAGGTTCCCATCGACGGAAACACTTAGGTTATAGCTGGTCATTTGCGTCTGTTTTCAGGAGACAGCGATTCTAAATGCGCTCGTCACCACCTGCCACTGAAGAGTTTTGAGTGGCTCCTGGCAGCTTAGAAAATATTGTATAACATCCAAGCGGTCTGACATACAATAATAATGCTCATATAGCTAAAACAAGACTATCTCCACAAGAAGCGCTGATCAGTGCGTCGCAATCACATTTTTCCGGGGACTCCGCGGCGCGTGGCCTCTGGCCGCTTCGCAGCCGGTGGCGCGCGCGGGCGGCGCCGCTTTCGCGCCGCTGCTGCAGGCGCCTCCGGCTGCGACCGATGGGAACGTGCATCGCGTGACCGTAGTCGCCGGACGCGACGAAAGCCGGCGCCCCAGATCCAGCCGGAGTCGGTGAACAAGGTCGGCTGCGGCAGTGTGAGCCCGTGCCTCTGGTGGTGAGCAGTGCGCGGCGGGGTGCGCTGAAGGGGTGCGCTGAAGGGGTGCGGTGGAGGGGTGCGCTGCCCCGCGGCGGCGGCGGCTGAGGATGGACGGCGCTGATGCCAGGCTGGTCATGAAGCTTGTCCGGGGAAAGTTCAATGGTTTCCTCCGTCTAAGCACGCGGCTCGGCCAGAAGAGGAAGCGGGTCAGGTTTGATGTGCGTTTAGCATGTGTTGACTCTGTGGAGGATTCCATCCCCTGATGTCGGCGGTCATGTGTAACTTACCGTCGTGCTGGAAATTGAAAGCAACGTGATGCATAAACTCCATTTGCCTCCAAAGTCAGTGCAAAAGAATTTCAAATCCAGTGGGCCTAGGAAGCCAGTACGGGGTTCGATTCCCCGTGACACCCGCCCTTCCTGCCAGGGTGGCAGGCAGGCGACGTCATATAGCCTCAGTAGCTAAGCCTCAATGACAACGGCATTGTCAAAAGCTATTTTTTCGTGTGGCCGATGTCATTCTTGATATACATATTGCTGGTCATAGAAGGCCCAGCAGCGCTCAGTGATACTGAGGCTGACCCAACGTTCATAGCGAAGGTCTAAATGAGTCCCACACCCTGACTGAAAACATCAAATAGTTACTTCTTAATCCTTATTAAAATATTTAGATCTTCTCTGTGTTGTCAAACGTACGAAATACGTAATGATAGCTAAGTTTCTTATCAGTCACCACACAGGCTATGTGCGTTAAGCCGATCCTCCCATTCCAAGGTCCCCCGTCATTGCCACCGGGGAAGCCGAGCTAATCACGCACAGCACTGCTGCAACGGGGCACCTCAGCACCCGGCACGTTCCGCACAGCTGACGGTCGCTGGTGCTACACCTGTCGTGCTACCTTGACCAGCAGAGCTACCTGCCGTGCTACCTTGGCCAGCAGAGCTACCTGCCGACTGGTTCAGCCTCCACCGCGTGTTCTCAGCTCCTGAACGGACACCAGCAGGAGGGCTCCGACTGTCGGGGCACCAACACGGCCGACGAGTTTGTCTTCTTGAAGTCGCGGCTGCAGAACACCTCCGAGAAGTGCAACCTGCTGCAGGCGGACCTCAACAAGGCGAAGCAGGTGCGTCCGATCCGGCTCCTGAATCGCGCAGCGCAGCGTGTTCGTGTCCGTGCTGGCGAGAGCTGGCTGTGTTCAAGGACGGGTTATGCTCATCGCGCCTGCTTGACGCAAGTTATGTTTTACAACCTGTTCAACATCACGCCTCATGCAGGCTGTGTGTTGCTGGCATTTCTGACGATGGGTTTGAATGTTCTGCGTGCAGTGGCTCGATCCGCCGCCGATACTGTGCCGCCTTATGGCATCTACACATTGATGCCTGTATGTATGCTGATGTCAATATGTGTATGTTGTGGTCTATATGCGTATGTCTGTCGTGCAGAATATTCTGAATGAGTCGGACGGCAGGATCGAAGACGTCAAGCTGGGACCCCGCAATGCCTTCGGACGACATGGCTTTGCTTCAGAAAAGGTGAGCAGGCATATTCCGAAAGCATTCGGAAACATAGTCGGTGGGCAAGATTAAACATCTAGCGTACCTCACGTGCATCACCGGGACGAGGAGTCTCTGATCGGCATAACTGGGTTAGCAACTCGTGTTCGCTACAGATTGTTTCAGCTGCTGAGTTTACTGAGACGACTTAAGTTATTACTCGTGTTGAGGCGAGGGAACTTATTACTTGAGATGAGATGAGTAAATGTGTTACTCGTGGTGAGGCTAATAAATTCAGCACTTGTCTTCGCTTACGTGATGAGCATGGCCTGCCCCGTACCTTTCACTGAACCCCTGATACCGAGCACGCAGTGGCCAGTTCCATTACTGGTTGTACCTCAGTCATATGGATGCTTGACTGAGATCACATGGCTAGCAGCCTGCACATAAATGGATGGACCTTATCGCAGCCCAAGTCACTGGGATGCTAGCGTCGAGTGTTACGTGACCTGACCGCTGACTAATAGTGAGTCAGGGTGCATGACCTGACCTAACCTGTGACCCTGTGACCATGCTATAATTTGATCCCTGACCGTCAGGGAGAGCTGGGAGCTCGCCTCGGCGCTCAGGACCGCGAGCTGCAGGAGCTGCGCCGCCAGCTGGCCGACAAGGACAAGGCGATCCACCTGCAGCAGAGCCAGTTCGACGATGCCATCAAGGCGCTGGCCAACTCGAACATCAGGGTCAGTGACCGGGACGTGGTGGCGTTGTGACGTGTGGCGAAGGTGTGCCGGCGCTGACTCTCCCAAGAGGCTGTCTTTCCAAACGATCGGTCGAGCTGCTTGCCATTGCACTGGAATTTTGCTGCTGTCATTGGTGTTTCTTGGCGAGAACTGTCCTTTATAGAGTTGTGTCTCCGACAGGTTTCTCTTTCGGGGCTGGGGCCTCTCAGGCGCTAGGACCGATCCAACGACTTTGTGCGTCGGTATCGGATCACCACACCTACAGCTTCAATCGATAATAATATCATGCCAGAAAAACAGTGATCACTATGAGAAATCACGAAGGAACGCTAGGAACGAGGCGTTCTGCCGACGACCAGCCTCATCAAAACGTCTTTCCTTTCGCATTCAAGTTACTGAGTGTTGTAATTCACTGAGCGCTAACGCTACCTATCTCGTTGCAGCCCGCGCAGAACGGAAAGGTGGCGCCGCAGTCGCCCGTGTCCAGACAGCGAGGCTCTGGCCGGGAAGAGATGCAGATTCTCAGAGACGCCATCTCCAGTCTGAGAGCCAACTTCAGGTACTGCTGTTCTCTCCGGTAGCGACATTTCTACTGGCCACATTATGTGATGTTTGCCCACACCATTTATAGCTCGACATAAATTCAGCACATCGGTTTTAATTCGCAATTGTCCGTAACGTGGAACTAGCGGAAAGGATTACAGTCACCCACATTATGAACGGAAAGGCTCGTGTCGGGTTATGGACTCAGCAGACGTTCATTTCCTTTTGATGCACCGTCGGTATACAAGCTGGCTTTCGTCTGTTAAACTTTAGGCATGAGTCAATAATAACGATGAGTGTGCGACTCGTTGGTTTTCCCATTTCATGTACGTACAATTAACCTGATCTCAAAGACTATTAACGCTTCTTGTGCTTCATGCCCGAAATATTATAGTTAATTAGCGTGTTACGCCGTCCGTTTAGCTGACCTGACCCACCCACGCAGGGAGTCGGATCCCAACCACCACACACTGGACACCCTGGAGCAGTGCGTGGCGGGTGGTGCTCGACCGGCTGGCAGTTGCCGAGAGTGGCCGACAGGTGGAAGCACCAGAGGCGGTCCCGCCCAACAAGCGGGCCCCATCACCAGCCTGCAGGGACAGAACTCATTCACCAAGGTAGTGCTGGTGTTGGCAGTGCGTTCGTTCGGAACATCTGTGGGGTAGGATTGCATGGGATAAAGTTTCCTCCAGTTGGTGGAAAGTCAGGTCCCATTTGTTGTGAATTGGTATTCACCATAGTGGAGACTGCAAAATGCGTGGATGAAACAGCATCCATTGTTTCCATTTTCGTGATTCCTCGTTCAAATCAACAGAAATGTATGCACAAATCATTTTCATATAGAGGGAATGTGCACATCATCACTGCCCAACCACACGCTGGATATTCACATGTGCGAATTTACTTCACCGATCCCAAATGCCATTGAGTGTGTTCTTCCTGACGCCATGTTCTGTCTCCCTCAGGTGGTGTACTACACCGAGAAGACACTGACTCCGTTCCTGTCGTCCGTGCCGAAGCAGCTGGGAGAGATCACCCTGCGCGACTTCAAGCAGATCTTTGATAGGCCTGGAAACTACCGCTTCCACTTCAAGAGCATGGATCCCGAATTCGGCATGGTGAAGGAAGAGGTGAGGACTGATAATTGAGGACTGAGAACTGCGGACTGAGGACAAGGGGCTGAGGACAATGGGCTAAGGACGAATAGCAACTAAATGTATTTCATGCAACTTCAGAATATAGCTTATGACTTCCTGTGATGAGCACAAGATGAGATGAGTTCTCGTACGAATACACATGATATGCATGAGTAATTCCAGATAGTTGGATACGCGTGTTCAGCTTTCTCTCTGCGACTTACTATCTCAGTTCATTCCTGGTGTTTGGAATGCCTAAATGACGGCACTGCTTAAGTGCAGTGCTCGCTACGAAAGTGACAGTCGACGCTCCTGTTATCAAAATCTGATTATCTTGCATTCCTATGTTCCTATTCTTTTTTTTCTTCTGAAAGAGATGATCCGTGATGTCTCTCTGGACGTTCCAGTAAAACTTTCGTGCGGTGGGGTCTATTTTTTTTAGCTCACATCACTGGTAGTGCTTTTTTAGAGATGTCAGCTAAACCTAGCTCGACCTACCGAGGGGATTAGTTTCTATACGTGACATTATTTAATTTCAATAGGTAAAAAGTCGGTGCTTTATGATGGGTTTGCATTGCTCCAACGAACGTAGGACGCATCAAAAATGAATAGACATAACTGTTTTGGCTGCCTGACAATATTTATATTGAGGACGACCTTGAAATAAGTCATTCATGTTGTTTTTGGATACCGTGAGCGGCTGATTTCTAAACATTACTTACCCCTTTACATTACGTAATCTCACTACTACATTTATTGCTTTCTGAGCCATGCTCCATGCTTCGGTAAATGTTGCAAGTAAACGTTTTGTCTGAAACTAACCACTGCTGTTGTGTTTATTAAGAACTTGTTCCGTTTCAGATATCCAATGACGACGAAATCTTGCCCGGTTTCGATGGAAAGCTGATTTCGTGGGTGGTGGAAGATCACGGTGTTTAAGCCCTATGCTTTCGACATATAGTCGGAAGCTTGTACCACTCGTACAATATTAACAGGGGCCATTCGACAGTGTTCTGACAACGAAGATTTGGTTATCTTTCTATGACCCTTGATGTCAGTACATGAAGGAAACTGCTTCGAAACCAAAGATATTGTAGTACTAGACAATAGCACGGTCTAGAGAAGATTGCACATCTGCTATTCTCATGTTCGTGGAGAGATCATATGATAATTGATGTCCTGCTCACACGGGATAATGACTTTATAGCTGTATAAATGGTACTTTGTTATGACGAAAGGCGGGAATTATATCCGTAGCCCGTTGAAAATTGCGCGACATACACGAACCGCATGCTACTTGTTTCGAAAGACTATACAATAAATGATCATTGAACGGAGGGCAGTGTACATGGTTACTTTGCCGTTGGTTTAAAGCCGGGTGTGAGAAGGCTTCATTGGCCTATGTGCGATACATTGCATCGAACTTCAGCACCACCCGTATGATGGAACCCGCATATCCGAAGGAGGAAAGTGAAGTCGATCTCACACGACTTCATTCTTGTCTTTTCTCTATGACTAACTCGTGTGTGTATTCAGCGCTAGATGGGCATCGTGTTCCGTCGTCATTTAGGCTCTTGCTCGGAGCGCTATGTTCTGTTGCCCTCTTCGACGACTTCGTCAATGAAGCATCGTTGAGGCAAAGGTGGAGGCCCAGAAGTTCTGTGCCCCAAAACCTAGGTCAACATCATCATCCTCGTCATCGCAAAGCGGTCGAGAACGTCGTTTGGCTGTCGCACTCTGTAAGGGGAAGGCAGCGGCTGATGTTACCTCCTTTCCACGAGCGGCAAGGAAGTGGCACAGCGTTGTCGAGACCGCATCGATGTCCGGCACACTCACATCACGGCAAGAGGCGTGTACACACGCCATCGGTGAAAGCCTAAGACATGTACATTGCGAACATGTCAAATACGCTTGCAACCAAGCTCCTTGGGACTATGGACGATTGTGCCATGAGAGGATTCACTCTGTCGCAGTCTTGCAACAACACGTTATTAGTAGAGGAGAGATTGCAACTCGTCAGCGGACATTAAATGCACCATGAACAGCATTTCAAAACGGCAGATTATGTTGCTTGGGATCTAAGCCATGAAAACCGGGTAGGCATGACGGAAAATACGCATCGTCATCGCAGTAATATCTAGCGAGTCGGGCATGTCAGAAATCACCAGACACAGCACGCAAAAAAATCGTCTTCACATTTCAAAACAAAGCGCGTAGTCCAAAACAGCCAGCGCTAAGGTTTCGGGTGGAATGCATCGCAACCTCTCCGGATTCCGACCGCTCCCAGAGAACACGATGACGTCACTGGGGTCCGCCGACGGATGACGGAGCGGCTGTCAGTGGCCCGCAGGCCGGCGCACGCGAGGCGCGCCCCGGCGTCTGGCCGAGCGCTTCATTGGTATGCCGGCCCGGCAGGCGGCGGCCCCCGGGTCGGCGCGGCGCGGCTCCAGACCGCTTCGGAGATTCAGAGGCCTGGTGTCTCTGGCCACGTACGCGGCAGGCGGTTAACGAGGCGGCATTGTAGGTGTTTGTCCAGTGAGTTGTTTTTTTTAATGCGGGATGCATATTGAATGCGATCATGTGCACGCCATTTATATGTCGTGAAAGGCGGGTTATAACCGTTGTTTTTGCATCAAAGGATGCAGCCGGACGTTACAAATTTGCTGCAACATCTAGCTGTCCTTTGTCATATGTGAGAGAAACATTGAAAAACCATGCTCAGAACTTAACTAATAGGGCACAAGTCTACGGTGTTGGTTTGCTCAAGCGATATGCTTCTCGACCTGTATTCGCTTTTTGTAAATCACTCGAGTGTCACCATTGCGCGGCAACTTGTTTCAACGCGTCCTTTGATTTTGGAGTAGCTATTTACCTGATCTACTAACAGTAGTGTATTCTGATTATTTCAAACACTTTGGGGCGTTTATTTCGGATATCTGTATGAATTTAACCTGGATTAGCTTTGCTATGTTTCGTTTCCAGCTGTTTTGCTCTAAATTCTGACATTCCGCTACGGCCTGTTCTGTATCGGCCGACTTCTGAACTGCACTGGACAGCGCGAAGCCAGCAACACACAGCAACGGATGTGATCGCCAGAGCGGCTGCATGCTGTTGTTTCAGCCGAGTCGTGCTCGTGCCGTTTGGCCACCGCCCTCGGTTGCTGGATGGTTGCAGTCACGCGCTTGAATATCGGAGGACCGTTGCTGCGAATTCACGGTTTCAACGGCGTTGCTATGGCAACGCGCGGTCAGCGGCAGGCGGACAAATAATTTACACCAAAGGGAACGACAAGTTTTGGTGGTGCGCATTCATGACGATTGCGACCAGTCTATTGTGATATATACGCAAAAGGTTTGAGTGTTTTCTGGTGAGCACAAAATAAACTGTACATATGTGGTGATTTCACGGCCCCAACCTGCTTGGTATAGGTGCCAGTGCGTCGTATTTGAGATTGGTTTCGAAAAACGTGACATCAGGCGCAGTAGGTCGCCTCTCAGTGGCCCCGGGGGTCGAACAATGTTCGGGTGGTTGTTGTGTTGGGGTGACTGAGCAATTTCTAAACGGTACCTGCATCTACGGTGCTTCAGTTGATCTCACGCCGTCGTCGTAATTTATTTTGGTCGCTGAGATCTGGCAATTATCCAA